CCAAACTAAGCTTCACAAGTGAAGGAAAAATAAAGTTTTTTGTGAACAAGCAAGCACTCAGAGATTTCATCACCACCAGACCTGCTTTACAAGAGCTTCTGAAAGAACCACTACACATAGAAAGGAACAAACAGTATCAGCCTTTCTAAAAAATACCAAAAAGAGCATCAATATAATGAAGAATTTACATCAACTAATGGGCAAAATAGCCAGCTAATATTAAATGGCAGTATTAAACTCACATATATCATTATTAATTCTAAATTTAAATTGACTAAATCCCCCAATCCAAAGACAGGCAATTTGAGTAAAAAACTAAAACCCATCAGTATGCTGCATCCAGACCCATCTTATATTCAAGGATACACAAAGACTCAAAACAAGGGATGGAGAAAGATTTACCAACCAAACAGAGAGCTAAAATATATAAATAAAAAGCAGAAGTTACAATTTTTGCCTCTGATAAAATAGTCATTAAAGCAATAAAGATCAAAAGAAGCAAAGAAGGACATTATATAATGGTAAAAGGATCAATGCAACAACAAGAAGAGCTAAAGATCCTAAATATATACACACCCAATACAGGAATACCCAGACATACAAAACTAATAAAGAGACTTAGACTCCCACACAATAGTAGTGGGAGACTTCAACATTAATATTAGACAGATCAATGAGACAGAAAATTAACAACGATATCCAGGACTTGAACTCAGATCTGGAACAAGTAAACATAATTAACATTTATAGAACTCTCTGCTTTACATACACAAAATATACACTCTTATCAGTACCACATCATATCAACTTAGAAGTTTTTTGTTGTTGTTGTTTTGTTTTTTTTTTTTTTTTGAGACGGAGTTTCGCTCTTGTTACCCAGGCTGGAGTGCAATGGCATGATCTCGGCTCACCGCAACCTCCACCTCCTGGGTTCAGGCAATTCTCCTGCCTCAGCCTCCTGAGTAGCTGGGATTACAGGCACGTGCCACCATGCCCAGCTATTTTTTTTGCATTTTTAGTAGAGACGGGGTTTCACCATGTTGACCAGGATGGTCTCGATCTCTCGACCTCGTGATCCACCCGCCTCGGCCTCCCAAAGTGCTGGGATTACAAGCTTGAGCCACCGCGCCCGGCCTTCAACTTAGAAGTTTAAACGAAATGTTGGCTGGCTCCCTGTTTGTTATTCTCTTCCCTCATTTTCTTTTATGTCTCCATTAGTAAGGACAATTATAGGCATACCCATATTTAGATTGGATTCTAGCCCGGACAGTAAAGCAATACCCCCATCCTCTCTCCCTCTTCCTCTTTCTCTTTCTTCCTCTTCTTTATTCTTTTTCTTATTAAAAAAGAAAAGAAATTAACACACTTCTACATAAGCAATGGGTCAAAGAAGAAAATCCAAAGATACTCTGAACTGAATGAAAATGCAAACGCCACATACCAAAATTTATGGGATATAACTAAAGCTCTGTTTCAAGGGAAAGTTATAGCTGTAAATGTCTAGATTAGAAAAGAAAAATCTTAAATCAGTCGGTAAGCTTCCATCGTAAATAACTACAAAAAGAAAAGACAGAACAAATTAAATCCAAAGTGATAAGAAGGGAAATTAATAAATATTAGAGCGGAAGAATAGAGAACAGAAAGAAAAAGATAAAATAAAAAATGTCAAATGTCAGTTCTAAGAAAAGATTAACAGAATTGACGAAGTTTTAGTTAGATTGACGAGAGAGAGAGAGAGAGAGAGAGAGAGAGAGAGAGAGAACACACAGATAACTAAAATCAGTAATACAAGAGAAGACACCAATTCCAATCTTACAGAAATTAAAAGGATTTCAAGGAATTACTATGAATAACTGTTGGCCAACAAATTACGCAACTTAGGTAAAATGGACAGATTCTTACACATAAACTAGAAAGTGGTTAGAAGAAAATATAAGATTAAAATTTTGTGACATTGGATTAAGATTTCTTAGATATGACACCAGACACACAATTAATAAAAGAAAAAATTAATAAATGGATCAAAATGTAAAACTTTCATACTAGAGAGACAGAAGTGGTTGTCTGAGGCCAGTTGGGAATGGGGAGTGACTGCAAAGGAGCTCCAGGGAGTATTGGGGCCTGGGGATGGAAACCAACTCTAAACTGACAGAAAATAATTCACTTGAAACAGGTGAATGTTATGGCATATCAATGACACTTCAATAAGGCTGTTTCTTTTAACAGTGCCATAAATCCCAGCCCTGTGACCCTAAGCTGAAGGAAGAAATGTTGGGTGTACTCAGGAGTGCTTTGTCAAAGCTGATTGTTTGAAGTTAAGGGCACCATTCTGAGTAAGATGTTTTGTGGTAGGCCAGGTCTCGCTATAACGCAGGCCTCCGTAACGACTGTTTCAGTACTATGCGGTTAACTTAAATATTAAAAGCCAGTGCTCTTATACAAAGGCTGGAATGTAACAAAAGCCCACCAAGAGTTTTGCCTAGACCTTTCCTAGGCCTTAAAGCATGACAGAATAATGAAGGAATTCTTAACAGGACCCATTTAGGATTAAACAAATTTTATTGGGGGTTCACAGAAACTTCCCAGGCCTCCACAAATAAGTTTAGTGGGGGTCTGAAGGAACTCCCCAAACCCCCATGATTTAGCAGGAAACAAGATAAGGGTTTTAGTTTAAGTAAATTTACTGAGGCTCCAGAGGAAGGTCTTCAGGACTCAGACATTAGTTATAGGTTAGAAGAAGTCAATCACTTAACGTCTTTAGATGAATGCACATTTACACGTAGACATATAGCTTAGAAGGTATCTAAGCTCTGGAAAACTTTGTAATTTTGAGTTGGTCTGGAGATAATTTCCAGGCCTTCTCCCTGTAACCAGTTACAGAAATAAAAACTTTCTTCCTCTTCAGTTCATCTACATCTTGTTATCGGGCCACAAGAAATCGCAGCCCAACCCTCAGTTTGGTCCAGGAACGGTTTGATCTCTTCCTGGCCAATCACTGGTGAAACCCACCAGAAGGGAGAGCTGGGACCCAGAGCACTGCCAGCTTCCAGAACGGCACGTGATCTCAATCCTCCAGGGATTCTGATGGGTGTAAAGGAGCTGAGCGTTCTCCGAGGAGCCAGCACATGACACCCAGCTCACCGCCCACCAACCACAGCCTCACGGTCATCTCCGAGGCGCTCTCATGTCCTCTTCCCACCTTTCTTGGGGCCACGCTGCCCTTCCCAACAAGCCTGACTGATTTCTGGAGCAGGGCCTTCCCCATGTAAGCTATTCTCCCTGGCATGCTCCTCTCCCAGATTTCCACACACTGTATCCCTCGCCATTGGTGCCCCTAAGGACACCCACTCTGCAGTCCCCAGCTGCAGGCACCTTCTGGCACAGGTCTGCTTGTTCTCATCAGCGTTCAACCAGCATGGTTGGATGAGTAAATCAATATGCATGAATGTGGGTAACCTGTGAATGGGAACTCATTTGCCAGGTTTCTTGAAAGACCTAACTTTTTAGTCTTCAGGATATTTGTCTTGGGTTCAGTTATGAGCCAGCCCCAGTGCCAGAACCCCAGCGGTATGAAGAGCAACTGCCGAGTCCCTGGCCCTCCCAGGCTCCCTGACATGAGACCAGCTAAGACAGCAAAACCCTTGGAGCAGGACTGACTCCTGGGATGGCAGCTGTGTCTATATGGGTCAAAATGTATCCAACTGTACATTTTATGTGCCGTTTGTTGTATAGATCTGTTGAAACATATTGAGGAAAAAAAAGGGGGGGGGGGAGGAAAAAAGACAACAAAGGAGGAACAGGGAAGAAGCTGGGAAACGTTGAGAGGCAGGTGCTCACAGGCAGACCTGAGTCCCCGGCCCCACTCAGCCCTTCCTGCCTGGGAACTGAGCACTGCCCCAAACCTGTTTTCCCATGGGCGAAAGAACCACCTGGGAGGTATTTGCTGTTCCATCCTGAGAACTCAGCGGTACTGACACAGCAAACCCTGGCAAATGGTGAGGATTGCTGAGGGCAGGGCCACGACCTACCACACACCCACGCGGTTTTCTTTATGAATTTTCCACTCCTCTCCCTCCCGCACCTCCGGGGCTGCACCTCCCGGGCAGGACCCTCACCAACTCTGGCCTCGCCAGACCTTATCCCCCACCTGACTGCGAGTCAAAGTCAAACATTTCTCTCCCCAGACGTGTGCGCAGCAGTCCTCTAAATTAAAGGACTGTGTGCGGCTCTGGGCTCTGGCTCTCCTCCGCCTTCGGCGGCGGCGTTCGCTGGTCTGCGTCCCTCCCTCTGAACCGACGCAGTTTTCTGGGTAAATACCCAATTTGTCTTCTGGCGCCAAGAAAATTAAGGACAGGTGATCCACCCTCGGCCTCCTAGTGTGCTGGGACTATAGGCCTGAGCCTCGGGGCCGGCTGCCTCAATAATTTCTTATTTCCTACATCACCTGAGCGCCTGGGGCACAGGCCCCGGGTCACGCTTGGCATTGAACTTGCCCACCTCCTTCCGGAGGCGCCTCCGCGTTTGGGGTCTGGAGGCTGTTCCCGGCTGACCCGGCACCTGGTCACCGTGCCCGAGGGGAGGGCTGGGGGGCGGGGAGGGCTGGGGGGCGGGCAGGGCAGCCCCGAGCCTCGTCCAGGGTCCGTCGATCTGTGCTGAAAATCGCAGCTCAGGGAAGGCGGGGAGCGTGGAGGGGCGAGGAGAGGCCGGAGACCGCACCGCGTCGGGGGACCCCGCCCTCCCCAGGACCGGGCACCTCGGAGACGAGCCCCCCGCCAGGCAGCGCCACCGCGCCCACCCGACCTGCGGGTCCCGACATCGCGGCCGCGCCCACCTGCCGCCGGCTCCCCAGGGCGCAGGGTCTCGGAGGCTGGGGCGGCGGCGGGCCCGAGTCCTCCCAGTCCTGGGCGCCCCCCTTGCCCCGGCCCAGCTGTGGAGCGCACCCCGGATTCCCGGCCGCAGCGGCTCCCTCGCGGGTACCTGGGGCCGAGGCCGGCACTCACCCGCCAGCGTCCGCAGCAGCTCGGCCATGGCTCCGCGCCTGGTCTCCGCCGCCGCCTTCCGCCCGCCCGGTAGCCCTGGGGCGGGGTCAGCCCGAGGCCCCCGCTCCCGGCAGGCGCAGCCCGACGCCCCGACTTGCCGAAGCCGGACCCGGAGTGGACAGTGGGGCGCGGAGGCGGCCGGGATCCCCAGGGACCTCTGAAGGGATGGCTCTTCTTCTCGAGCACCCCCGATGGCACCTGCGCGCCCCTCGCAGCCCTGGTCCCCTGGGGCTCTGACCCTGCATCCCGCCCAGGTGCCCTTGAAGCCCCGCCCCCGGGAGTGACCCCTTGACAACCTGATACACTCATGTCTGGTTCACGGGACCCTGATTCCGACCCGCCCTCCTGGGGCCCCGTTCTCATCTCAGTGAAAGCTGGGGGCATCTTTAATGCTGCCTTTCCCTCCCACCCCAAGTCCAGTTCACCAGCTCCCAGACGTGTCCCTGGTGGAGGCGCAGGAAAAACAGTGTGGCAATTCCTCAGAGTATCAAGCCTAGAATGACCATACGAGGCTGGGCGGGGTTGCCCACGCCTGTAATCCCAGCACTTTGGAGGCCGAGGCGGGTGGATCACCTGAGGCCGGGAGTTCAAGACCAGCCTGACCAACATGGTGAAACCCATCTTAAAAAAAAAAAAAAAAAAAAAAAATCAGCCGGGAGTAGTGGCTCTCGCCTGTAATCCCAGCTGCTTGGGAGCCTGAGGCAAGAGAATCTCTTGAATCTGGGAGGTGGAGGTTGCAGTGAGCTGGGGTTACAGGCACCCGCTACCACACCCAGCTAATTTTTGTATTTTTAGTACAGGTGGGTTTTCACCGTGTTGGCCAGGCTGGGCTCGAACTCTCGACCTCAGGTGATATGCTTGCCTTGGCCTCCCAAAGTGCTGGTATTACAGGTGTTAAGTCACTGCACCCCACCACTAATTGATTTTTATGCTTGTTAGGAGTCTTATTTTCCTGCTGCTTTTTCACCTAGTAAATATATTAGTAGAGATGTGGTTTCACCATGTTGCCCAGGCTGGTTTTGAACTGCTGACCTCAAATGATCTGCCCATCTTGGCCTCTCGAAGTGCTGGGATTACAGGCGTGAGCCGCCTCCCCCAGCCACACCTAGTAATTTTGGATTAGATGCCAGGCATTGTGAATTTCACCTTGCTTGATATTTTCCCCTTTCTTTAAATATTCTTGTTCTGAGTGCAGTGAAGTTACTTGTCAATGGTTTGATTCTTCCCAACAAGCTTGATTAAAAAAAAAAAATACGGAAGGCCAGGGAAAGGACCACAAGACAAGAGCAGGAAGGAAGAACAACTCAGTGCTTCCATAAGGCTGGAAATAGTTCCACCAGCCAGCCTAGAAACATCTCACAGTATCTGGGTAATCAGAAAAAAAAGAGCATAGCCTCAGCTGTTCCAAATTAGCCTTAGAACCGCTGCTTTAGCCCTGCCCAACAGTGCTGGAGAACAAGCTTGAGACCAGCCTGGCCAACATGGTGAAACCCCATCTCTACAAAAATAATATAAAAAATTAGCTGGAGGCCGGGCGCGGTGGCTCAAGCCTGTAATCCCAGCACTTTGGGAGGCTGAGGCAGGTGGATCATGAGGTCAAGAGATCGAGACCATCCTGGTCAACATGGTGAAACCCCATCTCTACTAAAAATACCAAAAATGAGCTGGGCGTGGTGGTGCGTGCTTATAATCCCAGCTACTTAGGAGGCTGAGGCAGGAGAATTGCCTGCACCCAGGAGGCGGAGGTTGCGGTGAGCCGAGATTGCGCCATTGCACTCCAGCCTGGGTAATAAGAGCAAAACTCTGTCTCAAAAAAAAAAAAAATTAGCCGGGAGTGGTGGCACATACCTGTAATCCTAGCTACTCAGTAGGAGGCTGAGGCAGGAGACTTGAACCCGGGAGACAGAGGTTGCAGTGAGCTGAGATGGCACCATTATACTCCAGCCTGGGTGACAAAGCAAGACTCTGTCTCAAAAAAGAAAATTAGGCCAGGTGCAGTGCCTCATACCACTAATCCTAGCACTTTAGGAGGCTGACACAGCTGGATCACCTGAGGTTGGGAGTTCAAGACCAGCCTGTCCAACATGGTGAAACCTCATTTCTACTAAAAATACAAAAATTGGCTGGCTGTGGTGGCGGGTGCCTGTAATCCCAGCTACTCAGGAGGTTGAGGCAGGAGAATCGCTTGAACTTGGGAGGTGGAGGTTGCAGTGAGCCAAGATTGTGCCACTGCACTCCAGCCTGGGCAGCAGAGCAAAACTCTGTCTCAAAAACATAAAATAAAATAAAATAATCCATTCTGCCCGTGTGCATGAGGTATTTGTTTTCCGCTCTAACCCTCCAGTGCTGCCTTCTTTTGTGTTGAAGTGGTCTGTTGTGTTGAAGTGGTCTGTTGTGTCTAGTGGTCTGTTGTGTTTCAGTGGTCTGTTGTGTTGAACTGTCTTTTGTGTTGAAGTGGTCTGTTGTGTTGAGTGGTCTGCTGTGTTTCAGTGGTCTGTTGTGTTGAAGTGTCTTTTGTGTTGAAGTGTCTTTTGTGTTGAAGTGGTCTGTTGTGTTGAAGTTGTCTGTTGTGTTGAGTGGTCTGTTGTGTTTCAGTGGTCTGTTGTGTTGAGTGGTCTGTTGTGTTTCAGTGGTCTGTTGTGTTGAGTGTCTGTTGTGTTTCAGTGGTCTGTTGTGTGGAGTGGTCTGTTGTATTTCAGTGGTCTGTTGTGTTTCAGTAGTCTGTTGTGTTGAGTGGTCTGTTGTATTTCAGTGGTCTGTTGTGTTTCAGTGGTCTGTTGTGTTGAAGTGGTCTGTTGTGTTTCAGTGGTCTGTTGTGTTGAGTGGTCTGTTGTGTTTCAGTGGTCTGTTGTGTTGAAGTATCTTTTGGTGGTGTGCCATTTTGTTTCCCTTTTCATTGACTTTTCTGTATATTTTAAAGTTATTTTCTTAGTGGTGACCATGGGGATTACAATTAACCACTTAAATTAGTAACAACCTATTTTAAATTAATTTCAACTTAGTTTCAACAGTAGACAAAAATTCTGCTCCTGTACTTCTCTGTCCTTCCCCCTTTACATTGTTAGTATCACACATTACATCTTTTTACGTTCTGTGCCCAGAAACATAGCCTTATGATCATTGTTTTAGGCTTTTGTCTTTTTTTTTTTTCTTTTTTAGATGGAGACTCACTCTGTCACCCAGGCTGGAGTGCAGAGGTGCAATCTCGGCTCACTGCAACCTCCACTTCCCAGGTTCATGAGATTTTACTGCCTCAGCCTCCCAAGCAGCTGGGATTACAGGCGCCTGCCACCATAGCTGGTTTATTTTTGTATTTTTAGTAGAGATGGGAGTTTTGCCATGTTGGCCAGCTGGTCTTGAACTCCTGACCTTAAGTAATCCACCAGCCTTCACCTCCCAAAGTGCTGGGATTATAGGCGTGAGCCACCACACCTGAAGGCGTTTGTCTTTCTTTCTTTTTATTTATATATAAAAAGCAAAGCAAGGCATTTGTCTTTTAAATCGTATTTTAAAAAGAGGACTTACAAACTAGAAGTACAACAATACTGGCTTTTATATCTATTTATGTGGCTACTTTTACCAGTGTTCTTTATCTTCTTCTATGGCTTAGAGTTACTGTTTGTTCTTCTCCATTTCAGTCCAAATAATTTCCTTTAACATTTCTTACAGGGCAGGTCAGCCAGCAATGAACTCAGTTGGCTTCTGTTTACTTATCAATGTCCTAATTTATCCTTCATTTAAGAAGGCTAGCTTTTCCGAATGTAGCATTCTTGGTTGATAGTTAAAAAAATAATAATAATTTCAGCACTTTAAATATGTTATCCCACTGCCTTCTGAACCCCATGATTTTTGCTAGGAAATTGGCTGTTAATCTTATGGAGGATCACTTACATGTGAGAAGTAACAGGGCTCATGCAGCTTTCAGGACTGTCTTTGACTTTGCCTTTCGAAAGTTTGATTCTTTAATGAGTCTTGGTGGTGTTCTCTTTGAGTTGATCCTGAAATCACCTTTGCAAAATTATGATTGAGGCAGTGAAAGAGACTTAACCTAACTGATTCTATTTGGGTTTTAATCTTTAAATTGTCCTTATTGCTTCCTGGGTGTAGGTTGCACTAACTTTAAGAGGAAATTAGTTTATAGTTTATAGTTTAAAACAAAGACAATCATAGCTCTTTCCCAAAATAAACTTCTTTCTTGTCTGGGGACCACACTGTCTTTATAGAACTAATCAATTAGCCACAAGTTTAGAATGTATGGTTTTGGAGCCACATAGTTGGAGGCACCAAGACTCTGACCCTCCCTAAATTGTTCTTTTTTTTTTTTTAAATAAGAAAAAGAATAAAGAAGAGGAAGAAAGAGAAAGAGGAAGAGGGAGAGAGGATGGGGGTATTGCTTTATTGCCCGGGCTAGAATGCAGTCTAAATATGGGTATGCCTATAATTGTCCTTAATAATGGAGATATAAAAGAAAATGAGGGAAGAGAATAACAAACAAGGAGCCAACCAACATTTCGTTTAAACTTCTAAGTTGATATGATGTGGTACTGATAAAAGTGTATATTTTGTATATTTAAAGTGGAGAGTTCTATACATGTTAATTACATTTACTTGTTCCATATCTGAGTTCAAGTTCTGGATATCATTGTTAATTTTCTGTCTCATTGATCTGTCTAATATTAATGTTGAGTCTCCCACTATTATTATGTGGGAGTCTAAGTCTCTTTATAAGTCTTGTATGTCTGCGTATTCCTGTATTGGATGCGTATATATTTAGGATCTTTAGCTCTTCTTGTTGTTGCATTGATCCTTTTATCATTATATAATGTCCTTCTTTGCTTCTTTTCATCTTTGTTGCTTAATTATAACTTCTGCTTTTTATTTATTTATTTTAGCTCTCTGTTTGGTTGGTAAATCCTTCTCCATACCTTGTTTTGAGTCTTTGTGTATCCTTGAATGTGAGATGGGTCTGGATGCAGCATACCAATGGGTTTTAGTTTTTTATTCAAATTGCCTGTCTGTCTTTGGATTGGGGGATTTAGTCAG